TTGTTACCTCAGGAAATTATAATATACTCGTTCAGTAATTACAAGTTATCACACACACTATTTATTTATTATTATTATTATCTGGGGTGGATTAAGCGTACGAGGGGCCCTAGGCCATTCAAATTTTTGGGCCCCTTAGATTAAATTTTTTTTCTCGTACATTTTTTTATTTATTCAAATATAAAAGTATTTATATATCTTTTCATTTAAGAAAGCATATTTAAAATAAAAATAAATAATAATAAATTAAAATTTACTTTATTTTGTTAAATTAGAACTAAAAAATAATCATAACATTTTGAAAAAAATTGAAATTNAATTTATTTTCAAAAAATCCCTTTTTAAGGGGGCCTCTAATCATTGGGGGCCCCAGGCCATGGCCTAGTCTGGCCTAATGGGTAATCCAGTCCTGATTATTTTTGCTATATTTTTGTAAGCTTTATTTTTGTAACGTCTCACACATACGCTCTGACTCTTTTATGCTTTTATGTATATATAGATGGCGCTGCAATAACATGCAGACACTGCTAAGCCAAAGCTAAGAATTCCTCTTAGCATCAGAATGAAGATCTGAGTGTATGAAATGGCTATAAATCATGAAAGTATCCGAACTATTTTATGATGGATGTACCTCTATCTCATTTGAAATAAAAATCATACAAACATACTCATGGAAAATGAAAGCAAAAACAATTATGTTACATTGACACTTTATGTTATTTTCCCTAAAAGTGTCAGACCCAGTGCCTGATTATAGCTTAGGCCCAATAAGCATGGGCCTAGGGCCCACAATTTCTGAGGGGCCTCAAAAATTTGTTCACAATATTACTGTTTCTTTTAAATACTGTAAGGAACAAAAAAAAACAATTTTCCTCAAAAAATTCATTTATTTTATTTCAATTTTTTTTTTATATCGTGATACAACCAAATTCATGTAAACATTGCAATTATCAAATTCGAAAGTACAGTTGAAATTTAATGGGTGCAATTTTTGCGCAAATGGCTTAAACGAATGTTTTAAACTGATTTACACGCTTCGACACTATTAAAATTTTGATTTTCCTGATAGCTTTGGATTGATGAAACCTAATTATCAATCTGGTTGCGCAAAAAAAAAGAAAGCCTTAAATGATGAAGCCAACAAAAAAAATGAGAAATTCTTTATCAAAATATTTCTCTCTTGATAAAGTAGAGCCGCCATCTGTTTCTGATGAAGCTGCTCTCATATAGAGTTTGATTAAATCTTTTGTTTAAGACATTTAATTAAATTCATTGAGATTTTTAAATGTATCAATATTTTGAATATAACTTTTTCATTGAATATGAATGTTAATTTTTTAAAATGTGTTATATAGACGTGTTTTAATTTTCTATGAGTAGATATAATTCTGGCTCTTTTTAGATATCTTTTCTGTGTTGAAATGTATTTTTTAATAAAAATTATTATTAATAACCTTAATATCTTAGC